CGTGGGTTTTTGTTTAGGTTTATTTGTAGTACTTTAAGGTTTTCTACCATTATTTAATAGATAGAAGAACCTCGCAGTCTTTGCTATTAGCAAAGTAGGTTTGTTTACAGTTTTTGCATTTTGGGAGCGTATAGTTGCAGGCCTTTCCCTTTACTTTATAGATACTATAAAAGTGCTGAGTAGTTATATAGTTTTTAGCACAGAACTAGCAGCTAGCTGTGTTTTTGTATCTGCTAAAGTTGTGTCTAAATCCTTGGCACTTACTGCATTGAGCAGTAGGTGGGATTTGGCGGTATTTCTCCACACGGAGAGATTCGCCAAGGATTGTTATTCTACTGCCAATCTTCTTCGCTTCTTCTTCGGATTTGAAAGCAATAACTATAGAGCTTATTTGCTTGTCTTTCTAGTTTCTTGATAGCTAGTAGGGGTTCCTAACGATCGTTTGGTTCTTATTGTACGTTGGGATTTCTGTGTAGAGTACGTGAAGGTTTTCAGCCCCGTTAAAGGTTGTTGGCACTCCGTGTACTACGAGTTTAGTCCAGGACTCTAGCGGCTGGGCTTTCTTTATTGGTAGCTGGTTTTACTAAGTGTTAACTTGCTTTAGTAGAAATTCTCCTAAGTATCCTTCGGTGGTTGTGAGGATGAGGTTATTTCTTTTGCTTGTTGCTACCTGTTGGATAACTGGGCCATTAATGCCAGCCTTCTGGAAGGCTTGGTTGATCTTGTTTCTTACTAATAGAGGGCTAGTTATTTGGCCCTAACCAATATGAGGCGGCGAAAGAGGCCTGAATCGTAACGAAATAGGCTTAGCGTTAGGGTTGTATACCGCATTAAGCGATCTGATCACCCCCGAATCGCGAAATTTGACACCCCTGAATCGCGCTTAAATAGGCTTAGCGTTAGGGCTTACTTAACCCTAAGTGCATCCTAATATAGGCTTCAGAGGATGTTATAGTATATGCAGTGGCTAAGAGAGTCTTTTTTAGTTTCTCTAATAATAGCGCGAAACTCGCAGCTTCGTATAAACAAGTATATAGGGTAGTTGCTGCACATAGGGTTAGGGCTAGGGTTAGGGCTTAACCCTAAGCTAACCCTAAGTTTAGGGCTACGTCGTGGTGTTGTCAGATTTAATAGGTGTTCAATAATGGTGGAGATGATTTATTGATTGTTCGTCCTCAAGCCGCTATCTGAGGGGCTTGGTGGTCTAATTAC